TTCGCTATTTCTGATTCTTTTCGTCCAAAATCCCCCCCGTAGGGGGACATGCCCGACCTAACTCTGGGACGGCCGGAGGACGGCGGACAGCCGTTGGGCCTACCCCAGTGGGGTCCACGGGCACTGCTTCAGACGCGTACCCCCTCCCCACCCCCCTGTGCGGCAGCCTGGAACCCCCTGGACCTCTGCTCTCTAACGTGACTCTGCCCGCTGGGATCGACCTGGCACCCCATCCCAGCTCCCCTGAGCCCGCACCTGCTACAGTTCAACGACCTGGAATCGACCAGGAACCCTCTCGCTACGCGGACGACCCCTTGCCCCCCACTAGCGATCCCCTGCACTTCGTGGGTCAGCCTCTGGATTCGGCGTGGCAGGCCTCCATGCTCCGTTTTTTGGGTAGTGAGGACCCCAGCCCCATAGGAGACATCTCGTGCGAGGTTCGGCGCGGCCTCCTCCAAAGCGTTTACGGGCAGGGACGCGCCAGGCGGATGGACGAGGCGTCCCTCCACGTATCCGCGCGGGACCTGCTCAGGCGGATCCGCACAGTAGCCTTCCTGCCGCCAACGATTCGCCAGACCGTCCAGCAATGCATTGAGCGGGAACTGGAGATCTACGGTTCAGTCGTGCCTGCCCCTCTACAGGAATATCAAAAAATAGTAAAAAAAAAAGTCGGGGAACGATTTTCTGACTAGTTCTGACAATCTGGGATCATGTTTTGATTATCTTTCATTTTTCGTCCAAGTTCCCCCTGCTGGGGGACATGCCCGACCTAAGATCTGGCGGCCCTGAATGCGACGTCGCTGGCCGACGCAGCACGGCGCGGCGATCCGCCCGCGCCCCTGCCCTCCATTTACCAGCCTTGAACATATCCCTATCCCTATGCTGGGCATCCCCTCATCACGATGCCAATCTTAGGGATCCCCTTATCTTTTGAGGGCGCATCCCTAAGATTGGCATCGCTTTTTGGCGTGTCGATCTTAGGGACAGGGATAAGCTCGAGGCTGGTAATCCACGGCCTGGGCTTTGGGGCCGCTGCTCTCTCCCCACGGCCCCGCTGCCGTCCCTAAGCCCGCCTCGGCCGCGGCCGCCGAGCGCCCCTGCTCGGAAGCGCGTCGCCTCGCCGCCCTCGGGCCCCGCTGGGAGGTGGGCGTCGCGCGGGGGTCGCTCCCCCCACACGTCTGCCTCTCCCTTCCTCCCTCCCCCCGGGCCTGGCATCGCTCGGACGTGTGTATTTTTTTTCTCGGCGAGGACCCTTTGAGGAACATCCTGGAGCATCCTGGGAACAAAAGCACGCACGAAACCGACAACTGCACGGGGAATGGACGTCCGAGCGACGGCAAGTCCGTTCCCCTGGGGGACAGCCGCACCGCAGGATCCTCGTTGGCCCCCCTCGGGGCCCCTCTGCGGCAGCGAGCGAAGCCCTGCGGCGCGCGGCTTATCTCATGCAGGGCAGCGCCCGGCACGAAGACACGCTCACACCGTCGCCCTCGTCGACTACAGTCGGGGCGCCGAAGAAGGAACCCTTTTCGTTGGGGAGGGGCTTGGTGTTCCTTGATTGCTTCACAGTTTGCCTTCGGTATTCCGTAGGTTTTCGATGGGAATTCGAAGGTTAACTTATGGATGAAAAGGGCCGCGTTTCTTATTCAGGGTTCCTTAGGTCAACGCCCCGACTGTACCCCTGCAAACTCAGACGACGCAGAGTGGTGGCACGACGTTCGGATGGCCCGCTTGCGGTTGCAGCACAGGAGGCGCACTGCCCCAGGGTGCACGGGGCCCCTCCGCCTCGGCCCGGACACGCTAGACTCCGTTGCTGGTAGGCCCGTCCACCCACCGACCCGCGCCCTCCTTGCCCTCTCCCCTTCCCCCCCGACGCCAGAGCCCTTAGCGGCAGGCCCGCCAGGGGGGCTTCCGCGGGCCACTGGGGATTCTGCTTCATCCCCGACTGCGCCCCCCTCCCCCCTTCACCGACGGACCCCCGCGCACCCCCGCCTCTCACGCCCCGCCCTCCGTGGAGGGCCCTCCTTTCGGAGCCCGCAGACGATCCGGTGGCCATCTCTCCGACCGCTCCCCCGCCCACCCGGGCGCACCGAGGCCCGCGGGGCCGGCGCGGCAGAGGTGCGCCGCTCAGCCCCCCCAGGTGCCGCTCGGGAGCGAGGCAGCCCAGCAGAGTGCCCCAGCCACACCTCCGTGGGCGTTGGCCAAGCGCGCCCCTGGGCATGCAGCCCCCCCCCCCGCCACAAGAAATCCCGCGGTACCGCTCGCTCTGCCCCCCCCCCGCGCTGCACCCTCGCGCCCCGGCGACCCGCCCCTCCCAGCAGGGCCCGTGCTGGAGGGTCCGCGCGGGGACCCTTTTCGCGCGCCCTCGGGTCCCTTCCCAGCGATGGCAACACACATGCTGGGACAGGCCAGCCGTGTTCGCATTCCCGACGACGCCCCCTTTGCTCCGTTCCCCCGTCGATCGCCGTCGGCGCCGCAGCCGAGCTCGGCGCTTCCGTGCTCC